ATTAAATATCATAAAATGTAATGCCTGCAAAGAATCTAATGCTCACAATGGTGGATGGTAACATACTGGGGTTTCAACACTTCACCAACTACAACTTCTTTGCAGTGAACTGCAGATATTTAAAATGCACAGTGTTAAGATTCTGATATATGCACATACCTACAAATACATCATTACAAAATCAGATGCTAGTATTTCCATGACCCCATAAATGTCCCATACCCTATTACAGCCCAGCACTCCCCAAACCCACAGTGCCATTAACATCCTTTCACGGCAGAGTAGGGCTTTCCTTGCACTTTCTAGGACAAATGATTAGCGGTTCTTACATATAAAGAACTCTTCAGAAGCACACAACAGAAAAACAGGTCTGAGAGCATGGACAGATGCTAATAAAATGAAAATACAAGAAATCCCCTTTTACAGCTAGAGATCTTCTCAACCTCCCAGTAAGAGAAATCTAAATGTTAAGAGACAGCAGTTGCACAAAAGAGTCCTGGTAGCACATGAGGCAACAATCAGCAGGCAGGGCCACCCAGTGGGCTCAGAGGCTCCATGGGAGACACCTGGACATCTGTCCATACAGAGACTACTACTGAGGACACCACTCTGTGCGTGAGAACCCTCAGCAGCTCCCAACCACCTGAGTTTCACAATGGCCAGAACCAGGTAAAGATTGGAGGGCACGGATGCACCAGTGCAGAGTGGACGTTTAAGTTGCCGTCTTCAGGAAAGCATGCTAGGAAAAACCAAAGTCCCCAAACCAATCCAACCTATCATCCACAATTTCAAATATTGTAAGGAAAAAAACAAAACCAAAACCAACACACACACACCCCCCAAAAACAGGATCCAGGGGACAAAAGCAGACTAACAAGAAAACTGGGACACTGTTTATCAAATACACCAATTGCTCACTTTTGGCCTCATCAACAGCAGGAAGGGCACCAGAGCGTCAGCTCCTGAGCAGGGTAATGACATGGACATTTCCACACTTACTGAGCCCTCATAAACACGTACATACACATTTACACAGGAAGCTATTCCCACAGGAGGCCCCATAGTCTCATGACCCTTACGTACTATTCGTGCAGAAACATGCACATCACCAACGTTGTTGTTGCTGTTATGTGCCATCAAGTCACTTGCGACTCATAGCGACTCTATGTACAAGAGCTCGAAATGCCCTTCTATTCTGTGCCAACCTAGCCATCCCAAACACACTTATTCCCACCACTCCAGTCACAGAGTCGATCCATCTCATCTAAGGTCTTCCTCTCCTTCGCCGCCCCTCCACTCTGCCAAACATGATGTCCAGTCCCTCCTTGCAAAATGCCCAAAGTATGTCAGACGAAGCTTCAGAATCCTTGACTCCAGGGAACATTCAGGCTTCACCCTTTCCAGGACAAACCTATTTCTTCTCCGAGCAGTCCAGGATATACTCAATACTCATCTCCAGCACCAAAGCTCAAAGGCATCAATTCTCGTTCTATCGTCCCTATTCATTGTCCAACTCTCTGATGCATAGCACGTAATTGCAAAGAGTATAGCTTGGCTCAGGTGCACCTTAGTCTCCAGCCTGACGTCGCTGCTCTTCAGTACTCTTGAGAGGTCCCTCATAGCTGACTTTCCCAATGCAATTCGTCTCCTG